GCCTGGGACATCCCCCGACCCCCTCTGTCACAGCCTGGGACATCCCCCGGCCCCCTCTGTCACAGCCTGGGACATCCCCCGGCCCCCTCTGTCACTGCCTGGGATGTCCCCCGGCCCTCTCTGTCACTGCCTGGGATGTCCCCCGGGACTCTCTGTCACTGCCGGGGATGTCCCCCGGCTCTCTCTGTCACTGCCTGGGATGTCCCCTGGGCCTCTCTGTCACAGCCCGGGATGTCCCCAGGACCTGTCACCCCCTGCAGCGGCCAGGACGGGTCGAACAACAGGGAGGTTCCGCGTCAGACAGAGTAGGATGGGCACCTCCCCCCGAGGCTGCACCTGCATGGGAGCTGCACTTCATTGTGAAGGGAAGAGGGTGCTGGGGCAGGCCTCTCACAGCGCGGCAGCGAAGGGCCAGACAACATGCAACTAAGCCACAGTCGGTGCTAGAAAGACATAGAAGGCCGGTGAGGGATGGGTAGGGGCTGGGGGCCTCAGGCAGTGAAGGACAGCCTGTCATACTGCAGTTTCTGCCCCACCCACTCCGTAAAGCACATGAGGACCTTCAGAGACCCAGTCTCCAGGAAGCTGAAGGCGCTGCCAAGCCCCACCCTTCTCAGAAGCCCAAGCCCCACCCTTCTCAGAAACCCACCGTGACCCAGCCTTCCTCCAGCCCCTGGCTGCAGCCACCAACACTCCCTCCCAGAGTGTGGCTGTCACGGGCCCAGGGAGCCAGTCAGCCTGGGCCTCTGCGGCCCCTCTCAGCCTCCCAGGCAAGCAGCATGGCCCCTGGGCTTGGCCTCCTTGGAGGCGGTGCCCTGTTCCAAGAGTAGGAGCTGACATAGAATGGTAGCCGGTGGCTTGGGACAAGTCAGACTAGAGAACTTGATGGGCTTTATTGTGGCCAGGGTCTGACCAAATGGAAGACCTCCACCTTCCTGGAAAGAGAAGAACGCCTGTTAACAGGTCACTAATTCTCACCTACAGTGGGGGAGACTCAGGTTCGAATCCTGGCCAGAGCACCTCTTGCGCAGCCACCAGTGGACGATCGCGTGTTGCTGTGATGCCGAACACGCTTCAGCAGAGCTTCCAGACTAAGACTAGGAAGAAAGGCCTGGCAATCGACTTCCAAAAATCAGCCAGTGAAAACCCTACAGATCACAATGGTCCAATCCCACTTATGCAGAGTTGCCGTGAGCTGGGCTGACTCGAGGCAATTCACAACAATGACAACAAGCCTCTGGCAGACATACCCCTCCCTTAGGGCCGAGTTCCCCATTCGTCTGGAGAGCCACACTTTCGTACTGGCAGTGAAAAGTTAATGCAGTTGGGGAGGGGGTTCAGTGGCAGGTTTTAGTAACTGGTTACCCCAGCATCTGAATAAACGAGGAGGCAGTAATGCATCCTCCGCGGCCCTGGGAGCGGCTGGGGGACTTCGCGAACGGCAGCAGACACACTGATCCCTGGGGGCCGTGCGAAGATGACCCTGTCCTGAAAGGAAACTGCGTTGTACATCCTCGGCGTGCTCTCTAGCCCCCAGGGGTGACCCGGACCGCCTGCAGAGGGTCTCTGCCTCCTGGGGTGACCATTGCCCAAGCGAGCACCCACTGCACCTGCGTGGTGTCAGGTCCACCGAGCTCAACGCAGTCACTTGATAACTGTGGCAGGGGCACCCCATCCCTATGGCACTCTCTCCCAAAAGCAGGCAGCTGCTCCTGGCACCTCATGACAGCCCCTGCCCCCTAGCTGCCCAGAAACACGCCCCAGTCGGACTGCACCTGCCCAGGTGTCCTCTTTGGTAGGCACCCAGAGTGGGGGAACCCTGAAGGACTGGGAGGCCCCTGCTTCAGTCTCCCGGCCCCTGCCCAAGGGGACCGGAAGGGGCAGCGGTCCATCCAGGTGGCCTTTGGTCTCTGGGCAGTTAAAGGGTCCCTTCATGTGGCAATGGGGCTGGCACAGGCTGCTGCGGCCTTGGGCTGCCCTTCCGTCCTTGGGGAGCGGTGGCCAGCCTTGGTTGCGGCGGGACCTGAGGGTTGGGATGGGGTGTGGGCAGGCGCTGGTGCCCGGTGACCGGACAGCTGGGATGGAGGGGTCGGGAGGCTGCGGGGGGGCGGGGACGGAGGGCGAAGAGGGGCAGTGACGTGGCGTGGGGAGGCCCAGGGTGGGAGCGGTACCCGAGATGGGGTGACTGTGCGTGGGGCCCGAGGCTGGACCGCCCGGGGTGGGGGCGGTGACGAACCCAGTGGGCGGGCGGCGGAGGGGTGAGCGTCCCGGGGCAGGGCGGCTGGCCGCAGGCTGCCCGGCGTCCCTGGGCGGGGCGGCCACACCTCGGCGCTTTCTA